TGACATGCACTATGAATTTATCTGTAGATTTTCAGGGTGAGGACAAATACCACTGTGGCAGAGCGCAACGCACGGATCGACCGCACCAAGTCAAAGGCGGAAAAACTTCCTGACGAGTGGGTGCAATACGCAAAGACCTTTGTTTGCACCTATTCCGGGAAATTTAAGTCCCAGGCCACGAGCAAGAGACCCCGGCAGGAGTCTAGGATGAAAGGGTGCAATGCCCAGGTAAAGTGAATGTCTTGCTGGCGTTTAAAGTGTTTGCTGGGGCCGACGGACTTAGCTACCTGAACAGAAAGGAACTACAGTAGTTGCGCTATCGATACCTCTGCATGTGCGCGTAAGCCTAACAAGTTAGCAATCGTTTTACTTTAGAAAAACGTTTTTGAGTGCTAAGTTGGATCCGCTGTGAGCGGAGTACATTGAATGCTTTGCCCTCTTCGTCAGATTCAGAGTCTTAATATCCGTGTATACGCGCTGGACACGTATACTTGGAGTGCGTTTCCTGTGATTGCACAACTGAACCTTTATCTAGTCGGGGTCAGTCGGGCATCCGTCGGGTTGGATCGGGCAATGTAGCCTGACTCTTTCACACCCAGTCGGGCTAGATAACGAGTGCCTTGAAAAAACCCAGATGTATTGTTTTAACAATGATGATAAAGTGCACGATCTGCGTTTTATGATAGATCGTAATCTATCCAAAATGATAGGGAATCCCCACGTTTAAGCCAATACATGTACTACCTCCGCTCGGAAAAAGATAACCATTTGATTTTTTTGCGCAGTGCTCCGCCTCGTTCATTTGAGCGTTTATTAATTTGTGAGTGGCTAGCTAGCTTTATGACCGAGAGCTGACAGTGAGAAACTAAGCAAGGCACAGGCGTTCATGCTCCGCCGTGCAACTACAGATACAAAAACGGATCCAAGACGGCAACTACATCGCCACATTCTGAAGGGGCGCTCAGTGGGGCTTCTGGAACTTCAGCGGTAGGCGGTGGGGTGCTGCTCGCTGCAAGAAGCAGCATGTACGCGTTAGCATTGGCAAGTGAGATAGCGTCACAAGGCAGTGACGTAGGGAGAGTGCCAGCTCGTACTTGCTTGTCCTTGTGCCGGAGGCGCGCCAACTTGTGCGTGCGTGTAAGTAGTGGACGGGTCAGTATGTAGCCTTCCTTGATCAGCTGCTGAACCAGGTAGCAGCTCATGTTGGACGCGCGCTGAAGCAGACGCTGGTTTTCGCGCTCATTGACAGGAGCTGCAACGATTCTCTCGCCCAGCGCAGCTCGATCCACCTTCTTCCTACCACATGCGCTCTTCCTTGACTTGACCACGGCTGCTACTCGATCTCCCATCGAATTGATTCCACGCCTCCAAATATGTTCGTCAACTTGGCGGCCCACACGGAAGTACGCTGCAGCCCAAACGATCTCTCCATGCTTGAGCCCTCCTCCTACGCTGCGAAGCAGTAAAGGTCTCCCGAACGGCCTGGCGCTCACTGTCTGTGATCTCCCCCAGGTGCCAGCTTTCAAAATGAAAGCTGGGCGCGGGAGCCAGTCTGGTCGGGGAAGCGCGGGAGATTCGAAATCCAAAAAGTGATCGGCATAGAGGGGGTATTTTTTTGGGTAGGCTGTAATGTAATTTGAAATGGTTATCTTTTTCAGAACGGAGGTAGTAGAAGAGCTTGTGACGTCGTACCTCAATTGCAAAGAATTCTGCAACAGATGGTGGGTACCAGGAGAGGAAGTTCCATAACCAAGTATATAGTGTACTGCTTTTTTTTTTAGAAAAGAAGGTGCCTGTTAGCTGTACTGTTTCCAGTACATCTTAAGTTCGTGCTTTAAGTTTTACGAACTTAAGCTAGTTTCTCCTGATTCGCTACGCTCGTGTAGGTAATCTTTAGCTCCGTCTTCCTCGTTGGTTGGCACGAAGTCGATGGTCTCTAACTCAAAGTCGACTTTGAGCTTCCTCGGAAGGTTTTTGGCGGGCTCCCATGTTAATTAGCAATAACCAACCCATTGCACCAGATAAAACTCTAAATTATGAACCTAGCGCTTGGCGTAGAGGCGTTCTACATTAAAAAGCTCTTCGCTCCTTCCGCGTCGAGCTCGACAATTGTCAAACAGATTAGACCCCCTCTGACCAATCGCCGTTGTTCAACAACGAACAACAACTTGTTGTCCAAGCCTCTTCGCTACACCGACGGACAGAATGCAACTGCCACTTTCCCACTGGTACAAAAGCGGTCAGATGACTACAGCACTTTTTTTTACAGTAACGAATTACCAAGAGTTTTTGGCAAAGTTAGGGAGGCAGTTGTATTTAGCACTAAAAGTTGCTTTTAAGTGCTTTGTTAAAGGCACTCGTGACGGTGGCTGACTCAATGGATTCCCAAGCTGTTATGGCACGCTTTATCGTAGCTAGGCGTTTTTCCTTAGCAGTCTTTGCTGTAGCATTCTCGAACAACCACAGAGCCTTGAGCTTTGCTTTCAAAGGCCCCATGATACCAACATCTAAGGGCTGGCAAACCGAGGTTGCATTCTTAGGTAGTGGCTGGAGCACAGACATAAGCTCGTCTGACACGATTGCCTTGGACTCACCCGAGACATGGCACTCTAAGTTATCTACGAGTAGTAGAGAAGAGCGTGTAACGTGCTGCTGCAGTAGTGAGCGTAGGTAAAATTCCATACGCGGGCATCCATCCACGCTTTAGTCTGAACAGTATACATATGTCCTAAAAACCATTACCGTAACCCCCGTCAGTTAGTAAATAGCAAACATAAATAATAAGATAGAATAAATATGTACCGTCGGGGTATGTAGGCAGCTCTTCTCTCTCGATAATGCCGTTTTGCTCTCCACGCAAAATGAAGAGCAGTGGAAGCTTCACGCCATCCGCGCGGATAGTGCATACAGCCGTCAATCGAGCGGAATGCTTCTGTTGAGCTGTAATAGCTGAGACTGACCTCTCTCGGATAGTATCTTGCCCGGCGTGCGTCGAAGTAAATCCCAGTTTCGTCACAGTTAAAAACCTTCGCTTGCAGCATA